ATTAGTGCCTACTCCAGGTCCCATACACCGCACGACTCTGGGTAGCACTTGGGCGTGTCCTTCACAATGACCACCATGCCACTCTGTCTTTCTGGTCATTTATTTAGAACACAGAACCGAACTCACACATCACATTCACAACAGGGTCAGTTTTACACATACAGCTTAGACTTACGGTTCAGAAACACAGCACCCAACCAGCTAGCAAAACATTGTTAACACATACAAGTCATCAAGATAAACATAACAGGGTAACACATCAGAACACATTAAAACACATTAGAACACATTAAAACACTTGTACAACTGTTCCCCGAACTAGTCGCTGAATTCCCATGATGCCCCCCACGCATCATGTCGCTGCCACCAGACCCCTCCCCAATAGCTGACGTAGGTCGTCACAATATAATATAAAAAAAATACTGCGTATTCTGAATATATATTTACAAGAACATGCCTTATGATTTTTATTTTCATTATTATTATTATTATTGACTATTTTTTTATTACCATTCTTTTATAAAGTATTTTAAACTGTGGTAACGAAGTAGCCATCTTTATTTCATCAGGAAAACTATTCCACAGCTGAACACCTTTATTAGATGGGCAGTTACTACTTAATTTAGTTCTACAATATGGTTTGTTAAACATATATGTCCCTCTAACCCAGTGGTTCTCAAAATTTTTTTATCATTCCCCACTTAAGAGGGTGGGCGAATTTTCAAGCCCCACTTGTCAAAAAATAACGAAATCGGCCAATTTTAAAATTTCAAATTTACTTTCATATCAAATAACACCAAGTTCAAAACAGATAAAATATAAGTGCAACTGTATCGTTTGACAGGGGGATAGTTTTCAATTTTGCAGCACTTGTCTCATCCAGCATAATCGACACCATGTCTACAGTTACACTTATTAACGTGACTGGGGATGTGTTGTCTCTAAATGTCTTAATTTATTGGCTCTCGTGCCGTCTGCTGCCAGCGGCTTAAGACACAAGACACACATGGGTCTGTCTTCTGCCCCCACCATTCCCACCGTGAATCCAAGCTCAAGATAGGCTTCATCATATTTCCTTTTCAGATGGCTTTTTGGTTGATAAGGCTACTGCCTGTCGTTTCTTTGTCTGCTTGCGCTGAATCGCCTACTTTTTTGTGGTCCATGTAACAAATTTATCCATTTGCGTTATTATGCCCACTACGTACACTATTGGCCCTCTGTGTGAATGTTTCCTTATATTGTTGTGCTGCAGTTAGCATGCCGATGTTAAACCGTTATTGTTGCACTATCGTTCCACTTTTTTCTCCCGGGCCTCGAACTGATGTTATGTTAACTTACTTGTATTAATGACCCATTTCTAATTTTCTTCGTTCATTGCGTCCCACCTGTCATGTCTTCATTCCCCACTAGTGGGGTGTGCCCCACACTTTGAGAACCACGGCTCTAAGGTCATAATTACTTTCCCTTACGCTGAACATAGCTTGCAAAGACTGAGGGAGGGTTTGTTGTTTTGCCTTATAAATACGTTTAGCAGTACACAAGTCTACCAAGTCATAAAATTTTAATGTTTTAAACTGAATAAACAAAGGATTTGTTGGGGAATTATATGGAGAAGGTGTAATTAATCTGATGACCTTTTTTTTGTAATAAAAAGGCTGGAGTAGTTCTAGATTTATATGTATTTCCCCAAATTTCTACTCCATATGTTAAATATGGAGTGATGAGAGAACTGTACAATCAATATAATGCATTTTTGTTCAAAATATATTGTACTTTATACAATATTGCAATTGTTTTTGATATTTCCTTTTGAACATTTTGTGTATGGTATGTCCATGACAGTTTATGATCTATAATCGCTCCTAAAAACTTTATATAATTAACTCTCTCTAATTTTTGTCACTGCATCTGTTTTTTAGTAGGAAGACCCCCTGCTCATGTGATCAGGAGAACACTCAGCAGGAGACAGACCAGGGGCAGGCTTTAGAAGAGCCCACAGTTCAGAGGTCAGTGGCAGCAGTCAAGGAGCTGCATGAAAACAAGCCTGCATCTTCTCAAGGGCCATCAGTGGTGAAGCAGCTCTACCAGCAAGAACACGCTCCTTCACCACCATCAGAGCTTCGCCCCCTCTCCCCATCATGCTACATGAGGCGCCTGCCCCCTCCTCCAGGCTTCTACCTGTCAAAGGAGCACAGCTACGCTCAGCTCTGCCCCCTGCTGTGGAGGAGACGTTACGACCAGGCTATTGATTGCTTGGAGAAGGCCTTACACCAGCTGCATGCAGCCAGGCGGAGGGAGAACCGGCTACGGAGCACTGTGCTGAGGCTTCGGGATAAACAGTTGAAGCACACGCTGCTTGTGTCACGAGACGGTTGTAAAAACAAGGCCAAGTGGCCTCCAGGGAAGGACAAAGGACAAGGCAAGCAAGGCTCTAACCAGGAGGAGCGTGAGACTGATGCTGCACCTGAGGATACAGGGTTGTTTGAGGATAGATGTGTGGATCAGATGGAGATGGGGGGTCATTTTGTTCCAGACACCAACAGCTGGTCTGAAGAGGAGAGAGGATACTGCTTTTACTGTGGAAGAGGGCAAATGCAGGTGCGTGACCAGGGCGCATGCACACTTTCAAAGACGAGGAAGGATGTCCAGCCAATGGAGCACGAGGACTCGCTGATGGTTGAAAGCAGTACTTGTGGTACAGCTGAACATACCAAAGACATATGGATAGACAGGCTGGAGAGACCACTTGGGAAAAATGTTGAAACACATTCCCAGGTCCTGCTCCAGACTCCCAGTCTTCAACATGTGATCTCTGCTGGGGTGTCTCCGCCTAGTACTCATGAGCAGGGCTTGCGGCTTTCAGGCTCTCAGCGTAAGCTGCTGCTCTCTGATATATGTGAAGCAGAGTCTGAAGCTGTGGGTCCAGGGCATCACCTGGACCTGCAGCAGCAGCTGTTTTGGATACAGGACTGTGCTGAGGGACAGGTCATTCTGGTGCCTGTCCCTGCTGAGCAGGGAGCACAAAGCTTTCTCAAGAAGGAGGGGGTCGATGACAAAACACAAACCATAATGATGGCAGAACTGGATCCTAAAGGAGACTTGGGACTGATGACGGAGAACAGTGGAGCTCTGGCCAAAGTCGAAACAGCCTGTGATGATGAACACAGTGACCAGCAGTCTGTGATCAACAGTGGATCGGTGGAAAGGAGAGAAGATGTGAGGGAGAAGCTTAAAGAGCACCTGGAGGGATTTCACCTTCAGCTGAGCACTGAGTTTATAAGCTAACGGGATGTTCTGGAGTTTCCCCAATGTGGGATCAATAAAGTTCTACCCTACCCTTCTCAATAAATTTTGTGACCACAGATTGAACAGCTGAATAATTCATCTTTCTGAGATAGAGTAAGCTGAATGTTGGCTAAACCTAAATGTGTATTTCAAAGGCCGCTTGGCCTTTGGAATATATGACACTGCTTCATAATCAACAAAGCAAGCAGTCAGATATAATGTTGCTGTAGAACCAAAAACCTCATTTAGCACACAGTGCTTTGGTATTTTAGAAACATGAAAGTCCCTGGAGAAATGTGCAGAGTGTGTGTATCAGTGCCCAAAATGTTTTCTTCCTCTGTCACAGAGCTGCACTGTTGTCCAGAAATGATTAAAAACACATCGGTGAGCCACACCTCTGCAGTGGGTGATATGTTCCTTCATCACCACGAACACACGCACAGTGCAGTTTATTTTGATTCAATCCCACATACGCCTTCCTGCAGCCACACATACTCACTAGCACACCCAAATGTGAAATGAAATTACTGAACCTTTATTTTGAAAATGAAGCTTGATATTTGTGAAGTGTTTGTAAAGATTTAAATTTGCACTTGGAACCATAGTGATTTAATTTGTACATAAAAAGCCTTAAAGATATATTTATTAAAAGTTTGGAAGTATGTTGTCCCCAGAGGTTTTATTTGCCTTTCCCACATGCAGAACTTGTGCTGATTAAAATTAATTGCTGAAACTGTTAATTTGCAGCTCTGTAAGAGAGACCAAATAACGTGTCTGCTTGTTAACTGAGTATCTTTGGGGTGTTTGATGTTGTTTACCCAGTGCAGATTGAATGGTGGTTGTGATGGTCCATCCTTAGACACAGCTTGAGTTAATCACATTATTCCTTTTGAGTGTTAAAGATATGAAGTTCCTGTGGATTTAGTCACATGTGCACATGGCAACTGGATGAGGCTGTTTATCCAGCCTGCATTAATTCAGAGGTCAGGGCCAATATTCATAAAATGTATAACAGTGCAAATTTTTACTTCAAAATATTCTTGATTTTACTCACAAATGTAAAAATAAGCCCACTTCTGTTGTCTAGTGATAACATTGAAACATTAGCTGAAGCAGTGCCATTAAGAAAAGAGAAGTTTTATTTAGAAAGTTCGATAGGTGGCGATATAGAGAGACATCACCCTACTGGGAGGAAATGGGTGAGATTCTTCAAAGTACTTCAAGAAATCTTCTCTCTTCACAATAAACACAGTGAGCAGAATCACCATAATGTGAAAATACACACAGCTGATGTAAAGCATTACACACACACACACACCCCACCCAGCAGGCTTTTTAAAAGTTCCTAAAATTGTCTCTTGAAAATGAGGGTTTTCTCCATCCAGCCGTTTGTAGTGACTTGTACAGAGCACTGTGTAATATCATAGGAATGTTGGCTGTGGGGGTTTCTGTGTTTGTGTTGATGCAAAGCATCTGGGAGCAGTGGGAAAGGTTGATCGTCTCATACATGAAACAATCCAACGTGGTGTCTTTGACTGGGTGTGGAAGCAACCCCTCCCACTCACATATTCAAATTCCTTGAGGAAGGAGTGGGGGGTGGGCACGGGTCTCATTTTCTACCGCTTAGTCCCTGAACGGGGTCACGGTGGGGGGGTTGGAGCCAATCCCAGCCGGTAATCGGGCGAAGGCGGGGTACACCCTGGACAGGTCGCCAACCCATCGCCAGGCTAACACATAGACAAACAACCACACACACACACACACTCCTATGGGCAATTTAGAGACACCAATCATGTCTTTGGACTGTGGGAGGAAGCCGGAGTACCCGGAGAGAACCCACGCAAGCACGGGGAGAACATGCAAACTCCACACAGAAAGGTCCCAGGTGGGGCCCGAACCCAGAGGCAACAGTGCTAACCACTGCGCCACCGTGCTGCCCACGGGCACGGGTCTGTCCTTACAAAATGTGGAAACCACATCTAGTGACACACCCTTCACCCAGAGGATGTCGGTGTCTGTCCCAGCCTGGAAGAACCGCTCCTTTTACTTTAGGTGGGAAAGCTGCTGGGATTCCTCTGCACTTCTTTTTTTTCTGCAGATAGATTCTTGTGGTTCATTTGAACCAAAGTTTTACTTTCCCCCCACTGCTTCTGCTTTATGACTTTAGACAGTGGGGTGGTTCCACTGACTGTCTGAAGTCATAAACCAAATAGAAAGAATGTGGCTGTGCCTGTTTCCTTCTCCCTTGCTCTACTTTATTTATTTAAAAAGTCCTTTCCTTTAACATAACTTCGAGGAATTCACCACAATGTGAAGGGCACGTGGACAGAGTTGTAAATAAAGATTCAATATGAAAAGTATCTGGTGTCTCAGTAATAGCTGGTAGTGAAGAGGTTAACACGGTGACAGTCTGGAAGAAAACTGGAATACCAGTCTAAACTTGCAAGCAGTTATGGTGTAAAAACAGTCTCCAGCCTTTACTAAAGGTTTCCAGATGTGGAATGAGTTGTCTGTTGAATGTGAACATGATTCACTGGGAGCTCCAAACACTTTAGACTGTATTATATATGACACGTTATTTTAATCTCTGAGACGTCTTGTGAAACTGTCTACTGGACATTAACACATGACTCAGGTTGGTTCATGTTTAGTAGACACACGTTGACAGCTCAGTTAAACGCCATATGAGCGCTGTATGTGTATGTATGTGAACAGCACGGCGTTGGCCTGCGGTTGCAGCCTGTATGAGCTGTAGGTTTGTGGCTGAGTCTTCACTTCCAGCCCTTCTTCCTGGCCTTTCCCGTGCTGAGGGAGGATCCGGGAATGCTGCCAGCTGTGACAGAGGCAGGGCTGACACACAGCAGCAGGTAGCGACACACGCAGGACCACAAGTCTCCACGTTAAAACTCAACGTCGACATGCCCCAGGTAGGAATTTATAAGCAAACGCTTTTAATTGCTAACAACTAAAACCTTTGACACCTTCAGAGTTACGCCCGAGGAAGTCGCGTAATGTTTACACTTTAAACTTTATGTTAAGTTTTTATGGGAGAAAATTCTTTTGTAACAGAGTTTGTTCACTGCGAGGTAATAAATGTTCACATGCAGTTACTCTGAAACCGTTTTCTGGGCCGTGAAACACGGCGTACAGCGGAACACGTCGTTACGAACGGTTTCCCACCGAAGACGCGCCAGCGAAAAAATGTCGCAGATGAGAATCTTCCACCCGAACAAGTCGAGTTGAACTGTTGGTGTTTTACGCACGGGACGTGCACGGGGGGCACTCCAAATCCCAGCCGTCGTGTTACGAATCACACAGGACCTAAACTTCCCAACTTTACTGAGTTTAATAGATGGAGATGGCGCTACCGACGTGTGCCGCCCGCCGCCCCTCCCTGGGTCATCCTGCCATACCTTTGCAGCGGTTGGCCTTAGATCCCAAAATTCGGGAGTAGATTTTGGGAGGTATTAAGTCTGTTTCCCGGCAGACACGTGTTGCCCTTAATATGAAGCAGACCTCCACTGTGCCCCTAACCAGTCGTGTTTTATTGTCCTTAACATGACCCCAACTGCACCCTAACCAGTTACCTCGGCCTACCGTCGATTATCGGGATCTAACATTTACCCCTTTTCAAACCTACATATATTAGAATAATGTAAACACTTCTGTAACCCATGAGAATCTTTCAGTAATAGTCTGAAAAGTAAGTCAGGGGCGTGTCTGGTTTGGAATGTAGGGCCCAGGTGCAGCTCACACAGTGGTCAACCTGTAGAATAGGATTGTGTAATGTCGCAAGACTTCCTCGTTATTTTAGAACCATTCACTGTAGGAGAAATGTTCTTCCTGCATTGGTGTTGGGAGATGACAAGCCTCAGAATTCGGAGGTGAGGGGAGCACTTGGGTGGTCTGTGAGCTCCCAGTGGGCCTGTGCCACCATGGTCCCCATTTTGTCTGGTCTCTTTTCTCACAGGATGAGCCCGTGTCTATCATTACACCACAGTCGGTTACATCCGGAAGAGCAGAAATTTCTACAGAGACGACGACGCTCCACTGCACCATGTGATTTGTAGAAACCGCTCAAGCTACAATTGCAGCGAAGCCAAAGTCATTTGGTATCGCTAGGAAAACATATGTTTTATGTAATACCTTAGTGGTATAATGAGGTGTTGAAATGTTCTACGACAGTAAGCGCTGTGCCTCGTAAGCAGTCAGGATATCGGTGTTGAGTGTGGGAGAGTTTTAGCTGATGTGAAGAGGGCTTGCAGCAGCTTGTGATACATCAGTCAGAAAGGGTGTGGTATTGACAAAGCTGTTCACCCACAACACTGAATAACTAGCAAAACCAGAGTGTTCCCATTGGCACTGCTTAGATCAGCATCAACACTTGAATCAAATGACTGTAATGTGAAAGGTGCTGCTCACAATAATGAACTCAAACAGAATTCTCACCAACTCTGCAGCTTCATACTGCGTTTTAGGCTTTTAGCTCATAGTTTTTATTTTACAGCTCTTTTAAAGTTCTGCTTTTATCAGCATTGTTTCCAACTGCACCAGGCATCTGTTTACAGAGAACAGGCTCTAAAAAGCCACCATCCGCTACCTGCTCAGCATCAAACATCTCAATCTAATTTTTTTGATACTGCCTGTTGCTGTTTACACACGTATCAACTTGTGAAGTTATGATGAACTTGTTAGTGGTTACATCCAGCAGTTACGGAGAAACCTGGCCCTTCATTTGACAGACAGTGGGGCACTCCAGTTCAGCTCAGCCGACTCCTGAGGGAACTATCTGACTCCAAAGCTGTTAAATGCTGTTCTCTGATGTTTGATGCTTGAAAAGGAACAGGCGTAACGCCCCTGAGCAGCTGAGTGACATAGAAAGGAACACACTGTAAATACAAATAAAATAAAATATCAGCAGGGATATGCCTGTCAGGTCACACAGTAAAAAATAAAGCAAGCATTTGTTAGGATGTGAGAAATGGGAGAAATTTAGGATGAATCCTGGTTTTGGTGTCTTTAAGCTGAGAAATGTGTCTAAAGCTTGTGAAAGGAAAGTGACAGTGTAAATCATAAGGGAGGCGGGATCTCACTGTTTGCAATAAGAATTCAATGACCTTAATCAAATAGATCTGTCTTGTAATTTGCTTAACAGCTGTGCAACTGTTTAAGTTTCAGTTCTATAAGAGCCTATAAGAGAGTTTTAAGGAAATGTTAATGCAGATCTGCATAAAGGGAGTCCATCTTCCATAAAGTGATCTTAACAGCTGGTGTTGGTGCTTTAAAATTACAAATGACATAAGCATATCTTGAGTTTGCAGGTTCCCATCTTGCTGACTGTGCTACAGTGTAGGAGGTGATGTTTCACCACACCTGGTGCACTCGTTCATGGCAGTCCTCTGCATCACAAACCTTTGATCTCTCAGGTTTTCTTCAGCTTAATTTACAGCAGGTGAAAAACTGTCACGTTTGGTTTCCTTTAGATGAACTTTAACCACGTAGGTTTTTAATAACCAGGACCATAGGCAGCGGGCAGTATGCATACATCTCTTTATCGTGGTCTGAGTAGTTAGTATATATCATGTTAAAGTACTTCTTTGTCTTTTTGGCTAATTCAACTAATTAAATTGGTACTTCATCAGTCCCCTGATTGATTTACTATACCAGCCACTC